GCGTGTGGATTTGGAACCTCTTGTTGAGTAGCCAGAACTTTAGTGGAAGGACGTGTCCGAGAGCAGTCGTTGAGGTCCGACTAGGTTCGGAGGTGTAGGATGACTGTTTCTTGTTGATTTAGGAGCCTTCAGTTCTGTGGTGCAGTGTTTTGAGTTTTGCTAAATTTGCGTTGTGCACGTTTCTTGGAATCTGGATGAGCATTCACTGAGGAATCCTGTTTGCTTCACCGAATGTCCGGATAGCTACCTCTTTCCTAAGGAAATGGAGACGTTTGACCTGTAGAAACCTTTTGCTGTGACACTTTTCCTTGTTTGGACTGTTCTCGGGACCTTGAGACAGTGGAACTGAGTGATGACGCCCGCTGCCGTTTTTGGTTTAAGGAAGAAGACTGAGGAATCGACCTGCTTCCAGGGCTGAAGGCCGAGGGTTTGAAGTGTGAAGAGTTTCGTTGTGTTTTTGTGACACTTGAAGCCTTGGGGTTGGACTACAGTAAGGAGTCGCGAACCATAAGTAGTGCTGACCAGGGTTTGGAGTGACAGACATGTTTGTTCGTGTGTGCTTTTGACGCCAGGGTTGCAGGGTTGAGATGAGCATTCGAAGCTTCAGTCAGATTTGCACTTGTGGTCGCAGTTGTGCAAAAAGGGTTTCGTGAACAATGTCCTTTTTCAGGGTTGTAATGCTTTGAGGGTCTAGAACAATCCTTTTCTTTGTGATGTGTGTCGAAGTGTTTTGTTTCATGTGCTGGGATTGCATGGCTCAGTGCTCGAGCTCGACTTTTGTTCGCCTGTGTTGCCTGGACCTCATCTTTCGGTGCTGTCGTCATCATGTCTTCTCCTCCGGCAGTTCCAGAAGTCCGTGTTATGGATGCTGCTGAGGACCCTGCTGCGGCAGGATCCATGACGGGAGCTCCTATGGAAGCTCCGGCGGCGAAAGCCGCCGGGCCGGCAGGCCCACCTCCACCGGTGATGATTCCTGACGAGCCGAACATCTCAGGGAGCACTGTGCATGGAGTGTTGTTGGAGGGGAAGGACCTCCTCGAGATTCCGGTCGAAGAGATCCTTGCTCTCTCGTTGTCATCCATTGAGCCAGCTGATTCGCTCATCAACGACGTTTGCTATGAGGTATCGAAAACAGAGGCCGAACGCTGGCACCGGTCCGCGGACCTGGCCCAGGACAATGTGCGCCGCTTGAAGGCGCAGATGGACCAGTTGGTGCGGCTGCATGCTTCGGACCCTTCACAGCCTCTTGAGGAGACCAGGGTTCCGACGGATTCTGAAGACTATGGTGGCCTGTCCCATGCTGATCTGGCGCGCAAGCACCAGGGGATGGTGGTTCGGCTCCAGCAACTCCGATGCGGTGCCACGTTTTGGGGCCATGTGTATTTTCAATCTCTCAGTGCACTCCCAGCGTTCGTCATACCACGCTGGGCACAACGGATGGATTGCATGACCTGCTCCGTTGGAGCGTTGGGAGGTTTTCCAAGCTGAGTGAATTGTTCGGCCAGCTGGGAGACTATGTTGGACAGCTCTCGGAGTCGGATGCCAAAACGCAGCAGCATTTTGTCACCACTGCCACCCAGGTGCGCGATTTAGCAAACGGCATTGTGGGGCTTTCTAGCTCAATAAGGCACTGCCAGGATGAGATGCTGAAATCAGCAAGGGCAACGGCGAAGTCCATGTCGGACACCCTATGGCAGGTCAGTGGAACTGGCAAGACTGTCAACACGCCCTTGAAGGAGGTGATCATGGGTGTATCCAAGGTGGTGAGCCAATTGGATGGCACGGTGACCAAGCAGTCCAAGTCACTCGAGAAGGTCACGACGCTTCTTGAAAAGCCTGAACTCGTCAATGGAAGCTTTGGTCGAAGTGGAGCGTCGGAAGTCATCTATGGTCGCTCAGATGAGGGGTGGCTCTGCGCCGGGCACGGGAGGAGGATCGACCAGTATCCCACCTCCCGGACCAAATCCTGGACCAGCCAGTGGACCAGCCAGTGGCCCAGTGACTTCGACTCATGCGACAGCGGCGCCAGCAATGGCCGCGGGACTCCCGCAAGCGACATTGGGTACGGGTGGGCTTTTTACCCCCCAAACTCCGAATGTACAGCCTAAATTGATGCCCTCGACATTGACGCCACCAGCGCCTTCGGCTTTTCCTCCGCCTCCAGGGTTCACGCCCCCGCCTGTGTTTGGATCTGGACCGCCAAGTGTCCCGGCATCAAGTCCCCAATGGAAGCGCGTTCGATTTGCGGACGGCTCCTGGAATTGGGCGGAAGCCGACCAAGGCGATATCTGATCTGGAGCAACCTTGGCTGATATCTGATCTTGAAGACCATGATGCCTCGACTTTCGGGGAAGTAAGTTCCTAGAAAGCTCGACCAAGGCCAATTTTTTTATTTGTTTGACAGCGGCCAGCCCACCTCGGTGGAAAAAGGGTTTGCTCAGAGGGATTTGACATTCGATTTGCAGTTGTTCAATTTGATCTTGTGAGATGCAGTTTGGAAGGGATTTGAAGTCTTGTCAACTTTGATGTTTGAGTAGGAGAAGATTCTTGTTAAGTTGATGTGAGACTACCTTGCTGGATTGCACAGGGTCTTATCCAACAGAAATGTCTGACTGTGCCAGGTTGACCAGGGGAAACAGGCCTGGAGGTCAGTGGAAGCGTGCTCACGAGAGATCAAGGGTTGAGAACTGCGAGATTGAGGGATGTCATTTGCATTTGCATCAAGGGATCACGGCAAACAGTAGAAAAGGGTTTGTAGCTAGCAGGGGTTCTAGCTTCCTTTGATTGCTGTGAACTTTGGACCGTGTGACATGTGATGTCGAGTCGATTGGTTGCAGTTGAAGTGAAGAGAAAGGGTTTGAGAGTTTGAGACATGCAGTGGAAGTTGAACAGTAGCTCAGGGTTTGTATCTAGCAGGGTTGGCTAGTTTCCTTTTTACTTGCTGTTTGATGCTGTGTGAAGCTTTTGGCACGTTGAATGTGACAGGTTTTTGTCTTCAGGAATCTTCGTTTGCTTGACCTGTCAGGTGACCACTTGAGACCTTGTATGGTTTCAGGGTCTCAGTGATGACAGAAGCAGAGGCGAAGAGCTGGCTCCGTGCAGCTCTTTGAAGCCCTGCTGTCTGAGGGACCTTGAATCCTTGTTGCTTTGCTTGCTTGGTTGAAGCATGGTTGATTGGTTGATCTTGATTTGAACTTGCTTGAAGCTAGTTGTTCTCGATTCGTTGACGTTTGATCGACCTGGAGACCATTTTGAACCACAGGAGTTGAGATCTTAGTTGATGCTCGAACCTTAGTTGCTCAGAGAAAACGAATTGAAGAGAAGAAGAAGACAAGAAGACCAGGAGAAGGTACGAGGTGACCCAAGAAGGGGTGTGAAAAGTGTGGGTAGCACGCCTGTACAGTGTGTGGATCACCTAGTACCTCTTTGTAGTGGAACTTTTTCGTTTTCGGTCCTTGGGGTTGGAGCTGAGTAGGGATCTTCCTCTCTGGAGTGTGTTTGCTTTGACCACCTTAGCAGGACTAAGTGGAATGTGACCAGAAGTGGCTAGGAGCATGTCTAGAGAAGCCCTAAGTATAGAGCTGTAGTGCTTGAGATGAGCTGTGTATAGCCTAGCTTTGCTTGAGAGTGTTTGGAGATGCTTTGTTGTACTTTTAGTATGTTTTGGACGACTGTGACCAGTCAGACCTCTTCAGAGAAGAGAAGGACGAACAGACATACAGTCAAGCCGACTGTTATGTTTGGCTCAAGAGCGGGATTCGCAAAAGGGTCGCACACGCTTCCGTGTTTTCACAGTCTCAAGTCATCGTTGCAATTTGATGGTGGGCTCTCCCTCCCCCCTCTCCGGGGGAGGGGGGGTTTTGGCCTGCAGTACGCATCAAATGATCAGTGCAAGGTCGGTGTGGCTCCACTGTCCAAGCTTTCGAAGATTTGCAGTCCCCATGGCTGACACAGTTGTTTTTCCGAGCCGAGCCTGCTTCCCTCACATGCGATGTGCGCGTATTGCTGGAAGTTAGGGACTAATGCGCAATTTGCAGTCATTGGACTGTCACTTGATTAGAAGTCGTGCTAGCCATTCACGCTTGCCTTTTTGGAAAGGTTTCGTGCACCTTGGAATTGCAGGGCACACGGCCTTGAAACCTGCCTGGTTTTGCATCTACACCCACATGTATTCGAGCACTGGGTGCAAGGTAGAAAAGAAAACAAAGCAAACAAAGAAGACATGAAAAGACAGGAAAGTCAAGTGATGAGTGCCAAGGTTGAATTCATCGCCCACGTTTCACTCTGTCTCACTGCTCTTTGGCTGTCTCAGCCGCGCTGAGGTACGAACCTTGCCTTTCTTTCTGGTTGGGTTTTTGTTTGGGGGTTGGTTGGTTTGTTTCCTGTTTGCCGCTTGGTTCGTATCTCTCAATCTAACTAGCTTAAGGTGACTTGTGCATAACCTGCACACACAACGCCTCGACTCGTGCAAAAAAAAACGCCCGTCCGGAACGACAAGCCATTCGGGGGTCTGACGCGTATCCAGGGCACACCTAAACAGGAGGCCATGTCTTGGAAGCGTGACACGCTGGAAACGTTGTTCTTGCAAGAACTCACCTTTATATACAAGTTTTCATTTGCATCAGACGTCGGTCTGGACACTTCAAGTGCAGATGGCCAAAGATTACTCCAGCGTCGGAATGCCGTCATGGTGCTCAAGCGACCCTCCAACAGAGGGGGGCGCTTGTCAGTAAAGCGTTACAAGACCGCAGCCCGACTCAAATGCAGATACGCGATTCACTCATGTTTTCTCCCATGATGGTCACGTTATTGAGAACTTTAAAGCAGAACATGATCATTGCCCTCTGGGAAACCAGGGAAACGTGTCACAAGGGTGAACAAAAATCGAACTCGTCAACTGTGGATCCTATATGAAACCAACCGGATCCTTAGATTTGTATTTTTGGTCTCCGGGCTGTTTTAACAACAGACAATCGCCAGAGTAGGCAAACAAGGGTTATCTCAGCGATCTCTGTAGGGGTCCAGGTATCTCAGCCATGAACTGGGACAACCTCTTCGAGGCTTCTTCACGCGCGTTCGGTGATGTGCGATGCTTCGGCATGACCGCAAGAACAACGCATTCTGAAAGATACCTTGGAAATCGAATTTTCGATAGAGAAGGTTGTAGAGAAGATGTCAGTTCCTCCATGTTTCTATCCCCAAAAAGGTAGAAGGTAGTACAAGGTACCTGTGAACAGAGACATGCCTCACAGTCACATAGGTTGAGCCGAACTCGCATGTGAGGCCACGAATGCCGTGGACAAACCTGTGCCAGGGTGGCTCTTCAAGGAGAGCTGCTGTAAGTTGATTCGAGAAGTTGGCATGGCAGTGTGGAACACAGATGGCCGTTTGCTCTTGGTTGGCTATGATTGAGGGAATACCCCCAAGTGAACAGCTATGAGGTATATAAATGTATATATATATGTATATATAGGGTACCAATGCCAAGTCGACCATCTATTCCCAAACGGACATCACTGGTGTGGAGAGTGAAATTTGGGAGTTCTTGTGTCTGTGATTGTTGGACAGTCGCAATGAATCCACAGGTCTGCCATGGTCTGCCAAATCTTAGTTCATGAAACAACGTGCCACATACACATACAGAGATGTCCTGAGAATTGAAGAGAATGCATTTTGTTCCTTCTCAGAACAGTTTTGGGTCAGAAACTGTTGGGCCAATTCTTAGGGATCAACTCACCACATTAGGGCCTCCTCGGAGGAGATTTGTGATGATGTGCAGCATTACCCAGAGTATGTCCCGGACGTGGCTGAACATTGCATGAGGCCAGCCGTATGCGCCGCTCTCCTTCGATCAAAGGGCTTCGGCTCTGGCTCGACTCACGTTGAGAAACTTAGGCTTTTGAGCAGAAGATGCAGCCTGCAAACGAGCCAATTTGAGATTGATGGGTCAGCCACGGATGGTTTTCCAGGTTTTTTGGGAGGATCCTTTTGTTTATTGTGAATTGGTCTTTCAAGCTCCGTTTGGAGACAAGTCCGGCTCATCAAGGAGCGTCCGGAGCGATCTTTTTTGGGTCGCGGCCAACTGATCGTAACGAGGTGTGTGATCAGCCAACAAAGGATGGTCTCATTGAAGGCGCGTTGCCAGAGAGGGGATTTTTGGAGTTCAGAGAGACAGAGAGAGAGAGAGAGTTCTTAGTTTAGCTAGCGAGTCTGACCCTCAGATAGCTGAGCAAAGGTGCAAATGGCAAAAAAAATTCAGAGTTCTTCCAGCACATGATTGTTCCTGAAAGAGTCACATCATTTGTGCAGAGCGCGGACCTTGCTGTTTCTCTAGATAGATGTTGAAAGATACAGAGTGTGCTTTCTGTCAAATCACTTGCAGATCATGTTTGTGTGCAGAAACTGGAAACAGCACAGACATACACATGAACATGAACTCATACCTGTACCTTTTTTTTGGCCTCTCTCTCTCTCTCTCTCTCCCTCCCTCCCCCTCCCTCCCTCTCTCTGTTGGGTCAGTGAGGAGAGAGCACAAGCACACAAAAGGCAGTTGGGACGCATGGATGGCGAGTTTGGCAATGTTTGGGTCGCGAGTCTGGGTCCCATAGTAACAAGGACGCTATTAGGTGGAGGCAGTGGAGGCCATTGCAAGTAGGTTGGAGGCCATCTTTACCAGTAACAAGAAGCTACTAGTAGCAAGGGGATTATCGCTTCCAAACTCGTCCTTGGGCCGAGCATCTCATTGTCGTAGCGTTTCTGCAGCACTGCAGACGATGAGTGACTGAAGCGTCATTTGTCCAAGCTGAACAAGATGACCAAGCTGACCAGAAGGAAGAGTTGTTCTGCTGGACCCGCCAGCTGGTCCGTCAGACCCGAGTTGTTCTGCGAGTTGGGCTCACAGCCTTGGATGAAGCCGACTCGGAAGCGGTTGATGCGATTTTCCAAATGATCCTATTCCTTTGCTGCATCACCCCTTTCCAATCTTGCATCCTATTGGTACTATGGCATGCGAGTGCCGGGTGCATGCGTTCTGGGAACTCTAGGGTGCACTGACTTGCTCACATGCTCACATGGGTTGCAGACTGGCTTGAAATCCGAGCTGGGCAGTCGGCTTTGGAGATTTGCGAAAGCAGTCTTTGGCATGTCGGTCCTTCTCTTTCTCTTCGTGTCGCCCTCGACCAGTTGAAGTATATAGAAATGATGCTTGTGACATTTGTATCCTTTCACCATATATATATATATATTTATAGTTAAATAATTGCCAGGCTGCATTCCGCACAGTGACACACCTGGCACAGTGACGCCCATCCCCAAAGATATTTACTCCACGCGGCACCATGTGGCTCAGTTGTGCCCACTTGGGGCGCGGGGCGCGGTCCACTGTCCTTCCAATGCCGAGCCAAGCGCCGCCCGGCTCGCGCCCGCCGCCGCCCCAGCGCCCGCCACCCGGGCCCGAAGAGCTGGGGCGCTCGCCGCTGACGCTGCATGCGCTGTCCGGCGAGCCGGTGGGCGAATTGAATGAGGAGGAGTTTCGCCTCATCACAGAGAGTGATGCACCCATCAAGGCATTGAGAAAGTTTCTGGCGGGCCACACTCAAGGTCGAATCTCGCGATTTCGCTTCAGGCTTTTGGGCGAGGGGAAGGAAGAGTTGAGTGACACCACTCCGATTACGACGCCAACTCTGAGGTTGCTGGTCATGAACTATCAACTTGCTGAGGCGCCGATCGTCCGGAAGTTCTTTTGTGCATGTGCCCAGGGTGCTTTGGCAGACGTGGAACAGTTTCTTGAAGCCCCACAAGATCCCAATACGCGCGGTGCACCAGAAATGCGAACAGCCATCCACGCAGCAGCTGAGAATGGGCACTTGGAAGTCGTGCGACTGCTGTTGGAGGCTGGTGCTGAAACAGATGCCACAATGAGAGATGGCACAAGAGCTTTGCATGGAGCAGCTTTGAATGGGCACTTGGATGTGGTGGAATTGCTGCTTGAGAACAAAGCTGATCCCAACTCTGCTATGCAAGGTGGCGCAACAGCCTTGCAGCTGACAGTTGGGAATGGCCACTTGCAAGTGGCAAAAGTACTTCTGAAGGCTGGCGCTGACAAGGATGCTGCAATGGCATTTGGTGAAACAGCTTTGCATGCAGCCTGTTTGAACGGCTATGTGGAGCTGGTGCGATTGCTGCTGGATAGTGGAGCTGATCCGAATCTTGTGATGAAAGTAGGTGCAGCAGCTTTGCATTTGGCAGGTGAGAAAGGTCATGTGGAAGTGGTGCGATTGCTGTTGGAGGCTGGCGCTGACCTCACAGCTATCATGCAAGACGGTGCAACAGCTTTGCATACAGCATCCCTGGGTGGTCACTTGGGAGTGGTGCAATTGCTGCTAGAGAATAGAGCTGATCCAAATGTTGCGATGTCTGTGGGAATAGGTGAGAAAGCAGACACAACAGCTTTGCATTTGGCAGCTGGCAAGGGCCACCTGGAGGTGGTGCGAGTGCTGATTGAGGCTGGTGCTGATCTAAGTCTGATGAACGATGGCACAACAATTGTGCAGATGGCAGCCTCGAAGGGCCATCGGGACGTCGTTCGCCTGTTAGTGATGAGGCGACCATCCCAATAGAGGATTGGTCACGACCGCAGTAGTCTTGCAGGAGCAATTGTATCGAAGAAAAAGAAACGCTGCAAAGATCTGTGGGTCGGTGAGAGCAGGTGAAAGGTTCAAAAAGCCCTGCCACTGTTCCCCTTAGCATGGAATCCTGGCAGGTCTAGGCTGAACCTGACTTTTTGACATGCTTCACTGCTCCAGGGCTGCTTGACGCTGCGACATCTGGCGGAGGAGGTGCCTGACTTCCAGAACTATTTGAAGCGCTGCCCTGAGGCCGCCTCTCGGGATCAGGGATCAGAGCTTGGGACCAAAAGTCTGACCTCTTGGAAAACCTCCCAATGTCTGTGCCTCCCAGGCGCCTCCGAGCTCCCAACCTTGACAGGATGCGATCGATTTGGCTCGTCGCTGGTCTCACGGTCCCGACAGGCCCTGGAGCACCTGGCGCAGCGCGCCAAGCCGCCCATGTTGCCACAGGCAAGAAGCTTGGAGAGGCAGGGTGCTGGTCTGGATGAAATGGGAAGGAAGATTTGAGTTCAAGTGGGTCTATTAGCTGGGAGTCTGGGAGTCATTGTACAGTTTGGATCTTCAGGTGACGGGCTGGAGAAACAACCAACAAACAAGCCACCAACAAAACAAGGTGTCAACAGCGTGTCCCTCTGTCTTTGCACATCTGCATTTCGCCTTGATTCATGAGCATGCCCGTTTCATGGACAAGAGGTCACCAGCTAAAAGCCAGCTATTTACTGGCCAATAGCACAGTGGTTTCACGTCGTTTCACTATTTCCCTTTGGTCCATACACAGTATATACTCAGTACAGCTTTCAGTTTTATGATCATCACCAGGCCACTACAGATGTTAAACCAGGCTGAAACTACTGTATTTATAGCACACTTGAACCCGTGTCCTCACTTTTCTCACAGTTGCCCAGTTGAGCATTTCAACGGGACATACTTGAATGGTGGAATGCAAGGGATCTTGGGATCCTCCTTCTGAAGACCGAGGCATTGGGAGCTTACGGAGCAGAGTTCTCCCAGCTCACGGAGCGGACAATGTCTTCATGATCCAAGCGCGTTGCTCTTCTTTCTTGGCAAAAGATCCGTTTCCACTGATCTGACCGCTTTTTCATTGATCTGACCCATCGCTGCACACAGGGACGATGACAAGATCTATCGGATGGCTGCTGACCGTGCGCTCAGGCGAGTCGCGCTGCTGCATGCATGCATACATGCGTACATTTGTACATGTGTGTTTACATCCAATATATGTATGGACGTACGTACCTACCTACCTACCTGCCTGCCTGCCTGCCTACCTCCCTACCTACCTAGCTACCTCCCTACTTCCGTGCATGCATGCATGCACACATACATACATGCATGCATGCATGCATGCATACATACATACATACATACAGGCCTAGGAAACCAGCCAAAACGGCAAACCGCACCAAGGCAACTTTAGACGAAAAACAACAAATACATACATGAAAGGGCGCTGGAGCCCGTGAGTTGCAGCAATCACCTTATATCAAAGGGACAATTGATTATGGATGATCGGATTGTTTGTTTCGGCGGGCATGGATGCAATTTGCTAAAACATATGAAACCTTCGCGGTCACTCAAACCATTTTGTCGCAGAACACTTAACTTTGATAATTCTTTTTTTAAAATGAAAACACAGTGGTTGGGCACTACCTTTATGTTGAAATGCGCACATGTTTTTTTTTTTTTCTGTTGATCACCCGTAAAACGCCCGGGCCAGAGCGGTGAGTCAGAAACGCCATGTAAGCTGGGGCCCCCATTGATCCTGGATGTCCACCTTTTTCACCCCAGCATGGCCAGTCAATCAAGCAGTGGTCGCGGGTGTGTGGAACCACCGGCCGGTTATTTCACCGGTGCAGGGCGGTGGTGAGTGGCCCTTCTGCTGACAAGGCCTGAACCCGGGAGGCCATGTGTCTGACTTGAAGCTAGAATCGTTTTCTGCGTGGATCACATAACGTAGACTCTTGATGATGTTTCAATCACCCAGACATGGATTGCAACACTTCTTTATTTGTGTGGGTCGACATTTCATCAAGAGTCTACAGTAGAGGTTGATGAGGTTGAGGGTCTGATGGATCTTCCTACTTGGTTGAGATGAGTTTGGATCTCTGTTCAGATGATCAGATGACCCGAACCTGTGCGATCGCAAGTAGATGGTTTCTGCGATCATTGGCTCCAGTTTGATTGTGGGGTCGTCCTTCATGAACGAGGTAGATACCCCCCCAACAGAAAGAAACAGGAAGCCGCTTCAAGCACGATTTGGAGCTTGATTCTATCTACCTATCTACCTATATTCCGGATTCGGTATTTCTCACCCCGAACCGCTGAACTTTCGCAGGCCAGTGTTCGTGCCCGCTGTGAAGGCGTGGTTGATGCGGATTTCCAAGGAGTGGAGCCAATTCTTACGCGGCTCACTGGGATTTTTTTCACTAATCCGGCACCTTTTCAGATGCAGCTCAGGGAGCTTGTGTCCCACTTTTGGGCGTTCTTTGCCCATCGCCCGTGGATGGAGGATGGGATTTGGTCACCCTCCCGTGCTCCGTCCGTCCTCGCGTCCTCGCACGCCGTGGTAGCGCCGGGGTGGCGCTTGAAGCGGGAGCTTCTGACCTTCTTAAAGCCACTGGAGGAAAGGGTGGGGACGGAGACAAGCCACTGGAGTAGAAGGGATGCGCACACCGTGCGGAGCAATGCTTACCAATTCCTTTTGGGTGATGCTCTCTGAAATTAATCTTTTTGGCTTGGCGCTTTGATCACAACTCGCTGAACACAGCATGATACTACAGTGTATTCAAAAAGAACTAGGAGCTTGCGCAAGCCTGCCGGCAAGTTAGAGACACGGACGACAAGAAGAGATACTCGGTGCACTGGTTTTGTTCCATTGTAGAAAACCACAGGTGGTTTGCGATTTCTGTCTCGATGCCAGCGTTTTGGCGAAGTTGGATGTCCAATTCTTTCTACACTTCTCCATTTCTTTGCATTTTCGTACGACGACTTCGGTTCTTTTCGAGGCTTTGGGAACTACATGCCGCCCCCTGAAGTGGAAGAGGCACCCACAGGCGCTCACCCACCGGTTGCCTCTTGAAACGGGGAGTCACCGTGACCCGATGAAAGTTTTGGTTGGGCTGCTGGAGAAACTCCTGAAAGGGCCTGACATCAGACCGAGGTGACCAGTTTGGAGCTTTGTCCGAGCTCGGTTTCTGCGTCCGAGACCGCATGTTTTCACGCTGCACCTGCTTGGCCAGTCACGCCAGGCAAAATCCATGTCACGTGTCCACACCTTCTGGGTGGATGGATCAAGACCAGCTGTATTGAACCCCAACATTGACAGTGTAGAACTGTGAACCAGTGATGGATTGAGGGTTTGATTGAACTAGGCCCCAGTAACTAGGCCTATGATTTTTCCAGCTTGAGACCTCTGGAACATTGAGTATTTTAGAGCATCCACATGCCCACATACCCTCTCATATGAGACACAGGATCTTATAGGACCATATGGAGGGTCCTGCCCGGGCCTGTGGCATCCAAGGGCATCCAAGTTCACAAACCACCCCAAACTCTGTCCTTGAACTCTCCCGCTGTGGAGATGACGTCACCCCTCACCCCCTACACAGTTGGACCCGGGTGCACCACCCCAACATACTCAGGAAGGAACCCGGGAGAACTGCTCCGCACTGCTGCTCAAAGCGACTTCCGACCTCCTCGTCGGGCCGTTTCGCGCCGTCTGTCGCGCCGTTTGTCACGCGACGTGTCCGCCGTCTGTCGTGACCGGTCAACGAGGTGTCGCGGGACTGGTCAACGAGGCTGGCCGAATTGGGGCGATGTCTTCGGGTGGCCGGGCGCAAAACGGGCGCGTTCGACTCCACAGGCTGCCTGAAGGATGAGGGAGATGTCGCGAAAAATATCGGAGAAGCATCGGAAAGACACTGAGCACCGGAGTTTAAGGGGGTGTTTGTTGGGCTACAAACTTGGTGAACAGAGAGATTTCTCAAGTTGGATCAATTAAACCTTTGTGAAAGACACAAAATATAAAGAAAAAACGGACCCGGACCCTGGACCACCGGAAAGATCGGAGAAGCAGACAGAACCCCACGCGGGAATTGATTTTCTTTTACCAGGCAGTTAGTTCCGTTCATGGGACTGGGACTTGCCTCTAGGGTTTACCAATGACCAAGGATGTGGGTCACAACCAAAAACTTACTGTAAACGATGGAATTGTAGTTTATGTAGATCCCAAGGATTGTCGGACGGTTACGGGCTCACTGGCAAAACATATTGACATTGCACTGACCAAGAAGCACATGTGAGACTCTTGACTCGTGCTTGGCGCACTGTTTCACTCCCTCTGGGCTGGTAGACTACCTTTCTTTCCTTTCACTAGGACTTTTTGAGGTGTCTCCTTGTCTGAAACACGTAACGTAAAGTCAGGCACCTCTGATGACAGGGCCTTTGCTGCCCAGACCCTGTCCCCCTCGACCTCCATTGGGGAAAGCAACTCCACCTCCTTCCTCTGTCTCCAGATGGTTGGCTTTGTGGGGGATGCGGTGGCCGACACAGTGGATGACTTCCGGGAGAAAGGCGAGCGTTGGTTTGCGGGAGCCTGGCCCGGCAGCGCAGCTGGGCATAGAATGCGCGTGTGCTGGGGGCCACTTGGCATGGTCCAAAATCTGAAAGCCGTGCGGCTGAAAGATGTGTTGCTGGACTTCTCTCACTCAGCACACCTTTTGCCATATATATATATATATATTTGTTTTTTTTACCTCTTGAGGCCAAGAAATCAATATCACCGACCACCCTAGGGTTTTTCATTCAGAAGCTACAATGAATTCAACACCTCCAAACATTGGTTCAACTGTTCAACAAACACAAATTGAAAACCCTTGGTCACGGCCGTGTCAATTGTTCTCTTCCAGGCGTCTGGTATTTGTTGGATCGAAGTTCTTAAGCTGTAAGCCGCCGACAGTGCTCCAGTGATGCGACGTTCTTGTTTTGCGGCGAGTCAAAGCGAAGATTGCGCGCAAGCTTTCCTCAGTGGCACGTTCCGCTTTGCGGTCCCCTGTAGACAGGATTCTGACCCGGAAAAAACGTCCTTCTACATGGGAAATCCTCTGTAGCTTCTCTGATGTGGGTTTCACATCAGAGCCACCCCCCCTTTTTTTTGGCGTCCGATGAAGATTGTGGAACAAGAAGCTCTTGAGTTGCAGCCACTCTCTAATCTATCTGCTGCGTGCCTGCAACTCCGTTGAGCTTCTTGGGCAACTCTCGCACTTCTGTAATTAAATCTGTGAACTCATTGTTTTGGTGTGACACGGTCGTGCCCACTTGATGGCAAGAAATGCCAAGAGACTTCGCGGCCTTTGGCCAGCACAGAGCACTATCCGAGTATGAGTACAAGGTTGAAGTCGCTCTCAGATTCACTTGCTCGAGCAAGCCAGCCAGATCGTTGCAGATCAAGCGATGATTCGCAGGGTGGGTGGCTTTTCCGCAGTGCAACCTTATGTTCGGAAAAGGATCAGTACAAAAGGGATAACTGTATTTTCTTGCTATGACAAAGAGCATGCAACAAGAGAACGTGCTCTTCAAATGCTGAGTCAACTCTAGCGACCACCTGTCTTGCTCTGTCAGCCGGTGACCACCGAAGTCACGGCAAGCAGCCCAAGAAAACTTGAGACCGATGACACAGGATGTAAACCAACGACAACGCAGACCAAACCGAAAAAGGACGCATCCGTCCTCGTCCTTGAATTTATCAAGCGAGTGCAGACCAAACCGAACAAAAACATGAGAACCATTCAAACCGGAACAATCGTCATTACCCCCACCCCCCATCTTCAAGCACGCGAGACAACCACCAGGTTCTTCCGAAACCCTACAAAACCACCAGGCGACCTACTGCCAGCTATATAGATAGAAAAAATATATCCAAGTGCCGTGGGGGAGAGACGCCCAGGACTATCTATTCATATCAATGAGTCTACGATTTCCCATGATTCGCACGCGTTTTCCTTTTTCATTTTTGGAATTTTCTCCCATTTTCAAGACTTGGGGTACTTTTCTTTTGACAAATGGGGCGCGTAAAACTCATGGCCCGGGGTCCAAGAGCCAGGTCTTAATGAACTCTTGCTGCTGCGCATTCGTGAATTTGTGAAGAACAGGACCGCCGCCCGATCGATCCCCCAATTCGGCGGAGTTGCCAGGCGCTGTGGGAGCAGTCCGAGACGGCATCGCCGATGCTGCTGACTTGCGGCTGGGCTGGAACAGGCCTTCGGCGGCCGACCGGGGAGGTGGGTCGACTTCTTGCTTTAAAAGGTGGATCCTGGGAGGGGTCAATGAATGAGGGGGATTTCTTCTCTGGGTGTTCTTTTGGAAGGCCAATTTTTTTGTGCACTTGTTCTGTGCGAATTGTCTCGGAGTTGACGTGGCTTTGTAAAAATCGAATCCGGATCCAGAAGGATTCAAAGGTCATTGGATTTGTTCTTGTTTCGGTTGTTCTTCTGCGAAGCGATCGTTTGTAGTGGAGACTTCTGGACAGTCACGTTCTGCACAAGACAGGTATTGAACTCCAGCTTTGCGTGAGCGTACAATATTGTTTCAGTCGTTTGTGGAGAAGAGAAGACAGTCACGGTACCCAGGATATATCAGTGGGCCCTTAACCTATGGTTTTTGAATGTGCGTCAATCCTGTAGAAGGAATGCCGAGATTATATAGATGATCAGATGACTTGCTTGAAGATCAGATGATCGAATCGAATCATATCGATTCAAATTACTTTGAAGGTGCTCAGCTGATTCTGCATGGGGAAATGCGTTTTCCTTTTTTTTGAGCACAATGCTACATCCCTTCGATGGACTTGCAGCGACTTTGCACAAACCCGACGGCAGAACAACAGACAAATCACAGGAATCCTCACTCACGGATCCTACAAACTCGGCGCTGCTGACTTTCAGGTTGGTTACACATGTACGGTGTGTATATTTAGACCCCTGGCCCGATGGGTGGACTGGTATTTTTATCTTCTTCCAGGGGCGTCGTTGCCTGGGAGGTCTCCCTAGCGTAATACGCACCCATGTACATTGGTAGTGTTCTCAGTCCTTTCTCATTGCGCAGTTGGATATGCACCAGCATAACCCCAGCAGCCAGTGAAGCTGAAGCGCTGTTGGTTTGTGATCAGGCGCCGCTCGCAAGTATCGTTGATTGGTGACATGTAGTTTCCACACCAACCGTAAACCTCCTTTTGTGGTCCCCAAATAGATAGAAACAGTTTCCATCAATACACTTGAAAGGGGTTTTACTTTTCTATCTATTTCCAACAAAGGTTGAAGAACCCTGTAGGCTATCCCAAAGGTACCCCAGGTTACGGGTCCTATAAGGTCACTCAACCTCTTTTGGTTGGGGGTCCAAGTACTGTATTCCGGTGTTCGAATTCGACCAAGTCTCGATCGACACCGTGAAAGGTGCTCCATTTGGAGCCTCGCACCCATTTGGGAAGGCCCACACGTAACGATCTACGCTTGCCCCAAGCACATCACATGGACCCAGTAGCGATTGGCCTTCGTTTTTCAATTGGTAGTATGGAATCGGATTCGCATCGATTTGCGAATTTGTCCTGCCACGCCCATCTGAGGATCATGGATTCAGTGTCATCTGTCTGGGGGCTGCTGGGTGGGAGGACGCGAGCGATGTGAGTTTCCCAGAGGCGATAACGCTACGGCATTAACCAACATGGAAGTGGATGGCATGGCCCCTTGGTATTTTCCGAATACCAAACAGGGGGTTTTCCACGTCCATGTTAGTTCCAGGGAGTGTAATGCGACTTTATGTATGTATATATATATATATTATGTTATATATATAACTATTCTATTCATTTTTGGTTGGAGCTTTGTGCCAGTCAACATCACATCATCCACGCAGCTCAATAAAGGAAATTCCAGGTAGTCTCGACGTTAATTCTCAGGCTGTTTGCCTCTGTTGAGCTTGGCTCCGAGCACACAGAAAGGAGAAGAACCCTAAGAAGCAGCCTAGGAAGCAGTGAGCGCCTGGCCGAGATCTTGGAACCAGGAGGTTATTAAGGCAAACTCAAGCAATTCCCAAGGGCAGAGCAATCTTGCGCCGGAAATTCCTAAAAGATCACCGACAGGTCCGAATCGCAAGATGATGCAGTCGGGGGGAGCACCAACTCTGAATGTCAGGGTCATAAACACTCGCTGTTTCCTCGCGTGGTTCATGCCGACCTACGCCCGTGGACCGTTGGGGGCCCCGATGCGACCGTCCACTCCGTCGACGATGCCGGGATGGCGGACCCTGACACATGGGCCTTGCTTGGCCCAGTGGGTAGACCGGTCTATTTGGCTTTGCTTGGCCCAGTCCAAAGAGACCCTATAATAGGTTCATATCCAGCGGTCTCAGGAGTCGCTTCTTTGGCGACCGCCGTCTAGATTCCCCCCCGCCGTCCCTTCGTTCCACAGAGATCGCCGCGGTTGATCCGCTTCTGATGTATTTTTCTGCGGACTCAATGTCTTTTTGGATGCTGAACTCTCAGGATCCGAACTTTCAACTCTCAGCCTCTCGACGAAGTCTCCAAATGCTGCTGAGAAGTCTCCAGCAATAGCGCACCTCTGGGGGAGGTGAATTCTTTGACGCTGTCACATCTTCTGATTCGTGGAGAGGGGTGTGTCTCTTCGTTCCCCCTGAAGGCTGAAGTCCAATTGACCCAAGAAGCGGGAAGAGTTCAGGATGGCATGGCCCGTTGGATGACTCTTCTCCGAATACCAAACAGGTGGTGGTTTTGGAGCTTTGCACCGGTCAACATCGCATCATGTATTCTTTTATTGGTCTTTACGGAACAACCCCTTGTTTTACTAACAAATTCGCACTACAGCTCGCCAGGTCAACCTCTCATTTCAAGGTCAAACGGGTCAGGCCAACCGGGTGGGACCGGGTCAGGCCCGCACGAGTCGGACGATCACCACGTCTCCGGAGCGATCTCCTGAGCGGCAGATGACAAAGAACCATCCAAACAGCGGGTGATCCTGGTTTTTGGGTTTTTGTGGGTTCCACGGAGTTCCACGTTTTAGTGTTCACATGAGTCTTTGTTTCCAGGTGGCCTGCTCTGGCCCCACAAATTCTTGGAGTCGATCGTTGAGTGGAACCCAGCTAGACATCGACTCTACACAGACCCCATCATGAACGTTTCATATGATCCGACGGTGGAGCCGCCCGTTCAACGGCTTCCGTTCAACGGAACCGGAGCCGCCCGCGTGAAGTCCATGCCCAGCCATGGCTTCGGTGCAGACCGCGCGCTGGAGTGATCCGAAGCTACGGGAGACTTGTTCGGCGAGTTGAACGGGACACGAACACCGAACGGGGCACCGAAAACAGGGCTTCTTTTTCGGATGGGTCGGGGAGTTTTTCTGAGTCAGATTCTCGTGGCAGGAAGGATTTTTTGTCCAGAGTCAGATCTGGGTGCTCGGGCAGATGCGTTTGGAGGTGCCACAATGAGTGATCCTGCGAAGATGGAAGTTTTTCAGCAAAAGTGCCACACTGGTGTTCGAAAGACAAACGGAGAACTTGCCTTAGCTCACATCCTGAAAACATGTCTGAGAGCTCCAACCTTCCGATCTCACACTCCGTCCGACCTCCGTCCGATCTCACACTCCGTCCGAGGACTTCTGGGCCTTCGCCACCACCGTGCCGCGCAGCGCGTCGCTGGCGGCCAAGGAGTCCACACGCTTGAGAGGCGCTTGGATCACGGATCAGCTGGCGGTGCAAAAGGTGCACGGCTACAGCAGCTGGGACTTCGCTTTCGAAAGAGGGTGGGAATTGGTGGCTACTCTTTGAAGACTGATTGGTGGTTAGTATTGGTGAAGCGGCCTTTTTCTATTTAGAGAAAGGCCTGCAACCGAACCATCATCATCCACTGTTACTGGTATATCATAGGATATACCCGAAGCATCAGCCTCTTCTGAGGTGCTTAAACTCACCCAACTCCTCCAGTGATCCCAGGCCTTTCGGCGGTGCGGATCGTTTGTGTGGTGGCGAGCAGTGATGAGGAGCGACAGAGGCAGTTCTCGCGGCGGAGAGGGCAGGAGATCGCCGACAGAGTGATTCAGTATAAGCGGCAGTAAGCGTAAGCGTAGCAGCAGGGGCACGGTATAGTGATGATGGCCATTTTTCATGTCTAAATGTATTTGGTCTTCTCACCAGCACAGTGAATTCCGAAGCAGCCACAAAGACAGGAATCAATTCTGACCTGCCAGTGATTCTAGAATCAACTAATGACCGACCATCCCTTCGCAACAGACAGACTCACACAATTCGTGAGGCTGGAGAGCTTCTTCGCGCGCGACCAGCGAAACATGCGGGCGCGCTTTCGTGTCATCGAAGATGCCTTGGACCAGGCAGGTGGGAGGTGGGTGGAAATCCAGAGAAGCCAAGCCCCCAGGTCAGACTGTTTGGCATGATTCATGGGTCAACAAAACTGTCCATGAAGCAGTTCCCTTTTTTGGGTGAAATTCGCCGGCTCAAAAAGATGTGACACCACGAAAAGCACCGAAACAACAATGATCAACCTGGTGTTGATTTGTGAAGCCACCAAAAGGACCTTTAACCTTGATGGGTTTCCCTACTAAAATGCGGTAAAACATATTGACCCATATTTGGCAGGGAAACTGGAAGGGTCAGCCATCTCCTGCTGCTGTTAACGCCTGATTTACTAGGAGGGACCACCTTGAGCTTGCAAAGCAACTTCCAATCAAACAAAGCTGCTAAAAGGTGACCCTTGCACCAGGCACCACTTGAGCATGATCCTTGGAGCATCTGAGATCATCTCTGTGCTACACACCCCTCATCTATATTGCCCCCCCCAAATCCGTCTACGCTCCGCCCAGGCCCAGGCCCAGGCTCTCCTTCCCGCCAGCCGGCCCCCCTCTTCGCCACAGCCTTCCATGCTGAGGAGCGGCGGGTGCTCTTGAAGGTGCCCTACGACACAAGTCTGGACATCATTTGGCACGAGTACGAGGTGCTTCAGGACTTGGCTGGGATCCAAGGCATCCCCAGGTGCGGCGTGGGAGCAAGTTGGAGTGGGTGGGCGTGGGTCTGGTGGAGTGGGTGGGCCTGTGAACGGCTCAGAGGGCCAGATGGATGGGTCCTAGGTGGGTCCAAGCCCTCCGGTGCGGGGAGGCTCTATGGGGTGCCCTTCTTCTTCGAGGACTTGGGTGTGAACGCCTTAGCCACGGAGTTCAGTGGTGCCACCAGCGTACAGGAGACGCTAGGCGGGTGAGGGGGGACATTCTGAAGTCGAGCCTAACACTTTGGCTTGAGATGGGTCCATTATTGAATTCCTTCTATTTTGGTTGGAGTCGTTATCAAAGTACAGTCACATATAATCGTTTTGGTACGAGACTGAGGGATGTTCTGTGGACTTGCCGTTCCAACCCCCTGGGATTTTTCTTGCCAATATGTTTTCCTCCTTTGGACTGCTGACCTCTACCATCCCTTTGCCGGAATCTCTTGCGCCAGTTACCACGCACCCTTTGTTCTATGCTGTTCCTGCCCGGGCGATTCCAGCAAACCCGGTGATGTTGCTTTTGGGTTCGATCGCTTGCAATTTGGGATGATTGTCAATTTCGTCAGCAGTTGGTTGCTGCTCTAATTCTTGCTATTTGGTTTGAATAGAGATGGGTGTGGCACCTATATATCGGTGTGACCTGTAGTGTTGAATTGGATGAAATTAATGCATTGCCTTGATGATCCCAGTAGTGCACTTGACTTGTGCCGGTTGCGTGTAGTCTAAACATGCCAGCGGTCTTGAACATGAACGAAAAGTTTCAAAAAACATTGTAGACATATATATTATATACATGTATACACAGCAGTATGCGTTGATTTATATGCCAGAATCATTTCCTGGCTTTCTTCGCCCAAGCTGTCTATAAGAAATGGGGATGATGATCCGTTGCAAAATTATCATTGTTTGATGAGGTGGTAGTCTGACACGCCCCGAGCTGTGCTTGTTGGTAGGTACTCCAGTGGATGCCTACCGTATGGCGTGCTTCTTCTTGAAGACCCTACAGGAGGCAGATTGCAAGAGCCTAGAAGAACCCTTAGCCGACTCGTGACAGGCAACATGAGCATCACGAGGGTGATCTGGCCACGAAATCTCTTTCACCTAGGAAACATCTTGTTGCAGTATATAGACCCCCACATTCCCCACATCGATAGAAAAGTAGATCCTCACTAAAAATGTATTGGAATCCGTCAAACCGATTCTACCTATTTGGGGACCACTATAATCTTTTACATTCTACCGTTTTGTTCATGTCTACTCAAGTGGTTGCACGAGATCCGTTGGGCGGATATTTTGCTCACTGCTTCCAACAGCAGGCAGAGAGCAAACAGACTCGACCCCCAAAGCAACCTGCCCTACTGTAGCTTCTTCACAGTCAGGGTGGCTCCCCCAGATGACCACGGTAGATGACCCCAGTTCATGACGTTTCGGGGCTGGCTTTTTACGGCTCGGTCAGGTGCATGCGCGTGGCTGGATCCATGGCGATCTCCAACCCAAGGACCTTCTTCTGGAGCCGCCACGTGGCTGACCCATTTCTTCACTCGGTTCACCGTCGTTCGCCCCACACATCTAATTTTTGTGAAGATCATGACCCTCTGAGGAAGGTGGAGCTGTACAAAATACAGGAGGTACTGTACTACCCTTCTGTGCGATGTTCCTGGGCGAAGGCCCCGCTCCGGAGACCCCTAGGGTTGCCTGGACCATCTTCCGACCAACGCATGTCTTGCGAGATTCAACGGGGGTGGGGAACCGGTGGTTTTCCTGCTCAACAAAACATACCGCACCATGCAATCAGTGGAGTTATTGGGCAGTGTTACTCTTCAATCCCCTTGGAGAAGTTGAAAGACCGACCCTCTCTGCCCCTTCTCCATCTCCGCACTCTCCCCATGTCTGCCCTGAAACTGACAGATCAGTTTCCGGTGATTCCTTCAAAAACGTGGGGAGCCGAACGTTTTCCAGTAAAACTAGGGTGTGTCTGGGTGAATTTTCGAGGTCCTCTGCTCTGGCCAGCTTACGACAGTCTCGCGTGGATCAGGAGGAGTGCACCAGTCTCGCGCGGTCACAGTGGGGGTGCATCGGAGCTGGTCCCCCCTGGAACTGGAAAGAAATAAGGAATAGGAACTGGGCTGGCAAATGTGCATGAAGTCAGGACCAGGTTTGGTTGGTTATTCCCCAAACAGTGTGGACACACTCACACTAGGGGTTCTTACGGTAGTAATTAAGCACCGGTGTCTGATCACAGGTGTCGCGTGGGCGTGTGCGGCTAGTTCGCTGCTATTTGCAGTACATTCATGCCTCTCGAAATCCTCGAAGTGCATTTCGACTGCGCAGGCTTGCAGAATCTGGTGGGCTGGCGCGGGTGCTTGTCGCGACTGCGCTCTCGTTGTGGTGCCGTGTGCATTTTTGGACATGGTGGTCATTTTTCGTGGCAGGCGCAGGGAAACCTCGCGTTCTGGCGGTCCAAAGTCGACTTCTCGGGACAGGTGCAAGGGATCGGAGCGCCTTTACTTCAAACTGCAGACTGCTGCAGACTTATGGCAGGCGCAGCACTTTGGACATGGTGGTGATCTTCGAGGCGCTCTGATTTCGTGACAGGTGCCTTGAATCGTGACTTTTGGACATGTGGCTCGTTTGCAGATTTCGTGGCAGGCCCAGCACTTTGTGAACCTCGAAGTACAGATTTCGTGGCAGGCACAGCAGTTTGTGAACCTCGAAGTGAACCTCGAAGTGCTGATTTCGTGGCAGGCACAGCACTTTGTGAAGCTCGAAGTGCACCCACCCACGAACTGGCCCACCCACTCTCACTCTCACTCTCTCACTCTCTATCTCTCAGTCACGCACGCACGCATGCACGCCCGCCCGCACGCCCGCACGCCCGCCCGCCCGCTCACCCGCACGCCCGCACGCCCGCACGGCCGCGCGCACGCACTCACTGCACAAGTCAGGTGGAATTCATGTATTTTTTGCACTGAGAAGTCAGGACCGCAGGAAGTCGGTCACAGTGCTGAAGGCTGGAAGTACGGAAGTGCTCCATCAAGGCATCATTTTTCCAACTTTGGAGGAGTTGGAATGCCTTGCTTTGAAGTTCGCGGCCGTAGGCCCGAACTTCGCTGCGAGATCCGGTTTCCAGTCAAGTGACGGGGGGAAGCGATTGGACGCGATTAGGAAATTGAACATCCCAAGATCCACCAATGGCCCCCAAGGCATTTTTTGATTTGAAGACATGTAGTTTACAAAGGGCGCCTTTCGAGCCCGAATAGTTGCCTTTCAAGCTCCATATGGATCATATGGGCATATCAAATTTTATCGGGAGACCCCCAACCACTGGGTAGACTGATCTATCTCCTTAACTAAACTGGGAGGTCTCCTATTGTAACGTGCGCGCTCAAGATAATGCGTTCTGATGTGAATGCCACTCGCCTCACGGCGACCTAAGTGACCATATTCCTAAGAGTTCAGGGGCGCAGAAACCTAAAAAGGAGCGGAGTTCAACCATCTTCAAAACCACGAAGTTGACGAAGAATCGATCGACGAGCGCTTGATTGCCAATGGTGAACCGATGCAATGGCCGGATGTCCTGTTTTAGCAAAAAGCAGGGCCCACGATGAAGTTGCTCAGGTAAAACTGCAGGTGGGCCGAGTTGATCAGACTCGGTATTCCATGACTGTGGTAGCTTCGTTGAGTGCGGTCCCACAATCATGCCGCACTCCCCTGCACAAAATCAACGGATTCCTCATGATTCCAAGGGTTTCACACACACGCCTCCCCACGTGGGGGCAAAAACTAAGGGCCGAACAAAGGTGCATATGTGCGCGCAAAGGAGACAAAAGGATGAAGACGTGAGAAGGAGACAAGTGTGCAGATGAAACGGCAGCGCAACGTTGTGGCTCAGGAGCGCCAACCTTGGTGCATTTCTCGCCCTCTCACCAGCGATACGCCGTCTTGCAGGACACTCTTGTGGGTCACTCTTGTAGGAAGCTCTTGCGCGGCACTCTTTTGGGACACTCTTGATCCCGCAATGATCCCGCTCACCAGCGACACGCCACGTTTACGCCAGCATGTCTCGCGCTCCCCAGTGGCACGGCGCCACGCAAACGCACTTCCCACCAAGGCCGCGCAAATCCCCATGGCACTGCGACATCATGAACGTACTTTGGCCACACGGTCTGTCCACACAAGCGCACATATCACATGAGACAGCCAATCGCCCCGCTCACCAGCGACACGCCGCGTTTAAGCCAGCATGTTTCGCGTTCCCCAGTGGCACGGCGCCACGCAAACGCACTTCCCACCAAGGCCGCGCAAATCCCAATGGCAATGTGACATCACGAACGTACTTTGGCCACACGGTCTGTCCACCCACTAGAAGCAAACATATCACGTGATATCACCAATGATCCCGCTCACCAGCGACACGCCGCGTTTACGCCAGCATGTTTCGCGCTCCCCAGTGGCACGGCGCCACGCAAACACACTTCCCACCAAGGCCGCGCGAATCCCAATGGCGCTGCGACGTCACGAACGTACTTTGGCCATACGGTCCGCCACACACTAGAAGCAAACGTATCACATGATACCGCCAATGATCCCGCTCACCAGCGACACGCCGCAATTACGCCAGCATGTTTCGCGCTCCCCAGTGGCACGGCGCCACGCAAACGCACTTCCCACCAAGGCCGCGCAAATCCCAATGGCGCTGCGACATCACGAGCGTACTTTGGCCACGCGGTCTGTCCACACACTAGAAGCAAACATATCACATGATACCGCCAATGATCCCGCTCACCAGCGGGCTCTTTCCCGTACTACTTTTGTACTACAAACTGGTCACTTCTGAGTCCAGCTCCAAAACGTCTTTGCCGTACTACATCTGTACTACAAACTGAAAGGCCCTTTCCCGTAGTACATTTGTACCACAAACTGGCCACTTCTGAGTGCTCTTTCGTACTACATTTGTACCACAAACTGAAAGGCCCTTTCCCGCACTACATTTGTACTACAAACTGGCCACTTCTGAGTCCAGCTCCGAAAAGCTCTTCCCGTACTACATTTGTACTGCAAACTGGCCACTTCTGAGTCCAGCTCCGAAAAGCTTCTTCCCAAGTGAAGCGCCCAGTCTCCAAGACGAGCATTTCGTACGAGACTTCCTCCAAAAGTGAAGTGCCAAGTCCCTAAGACTTCCTCCAAAAGTGAAGCGGCAAGTCTCCAAAACGAGCGTTTCGCACGAGACTCCCCCAAAAAAGTGAAGCGCCAAGTCTCCAAAACGCGCG